AATAACAAAAGTATACACTAAATCAAAATCTAAAATGACTATGCGTTCTTCATTAGTCATTCCAAAACCGAGCCACCATGAATATTTTTGAAATCTTCTATCACTCTACCGACATATTCATTTACATCTCCTCCAATTTAAATTCTTTCTTTAAGAGGTATTGTCTGTATTAAGTTTTCTAAGTCATTCCAGAATTTTTCTTTGGACCCTATATCTAAACCTACTTGAGGAGCATAAACACTTATAATATTAAAAATCTTAATATCAATAATAATTTTAAGAGCTATAATTCTATCACAAACTCTATTAATTTTTACAACATTATCTTTGAAACTCTTATCTCTAATTACACCTACACCATTTATATTGTGACTCTTACCAGAATACCAAAATTTAAAACCTAAAATATCAATCTCTTTAGCTTTTTTTCTCGCACCCATTTAGTTTCTTGAATACATAAGATATTGATCTTTCTATGAATCATAAGATCAATTAATTCAATTAATTTACCTTTAAGAGTACTTATATTTCAAGATTCTATCCTAATTATAGTTTCATTAGTTTCATGGATTAATTTTTTTACCAGCATCCGTCCGTAATATGAGAACCCTTGCTTATTTGACACTACATTATTTTACATAGTCGACTCCTAAACTGCAATATTTTATTTATTGCCAGGCCACCTGGGTTGACCACCCAACGCCAACAAATCCAACAACAGGAAAGAACTCAAGGAGAACCTGTTCGAGCAAGAAAAAGACCAGATTATCCCTCGCTACTCCCTGTTAAACAAGGGCATATATGTAATTTACTTTCCCCCTCTTTTCTTAATAAATAGAGGATCTCTTGGCATGTAAAAGAGACCCCTTTAGATTCTCTCTCTCCCCCTCATGTAAGGAGCTTGCTCTCCTTCTCCCTCACTTATAAAGGGCCGCTGAGCCAGGGACCACCCCAATTTGCCCCCAGATGGGCCCCCACCACCCCCCTCCCCCCTTGCAAAATCCGGCTCTATTTCTTAAGCCGCAAGTTCCTCGATGAATTTGTCAATTGAGGTGAGAAATATTGAATACAATTGATAAAAAAATTGTGTTCGCTAAGGTAAACTTAAATGTATCCCTTTAAATAAATACCACCCCAAATCTACAATAATTACTTGAACGAAGCAACTTATGACTGATAATAAAACTTCTTCTATTAAATTGGGTTGAATATCTACTCTAAGAAGATCAAAGACATAACAACTCGGAATGACGGAATCACAAGAACTTGATCGGGTGTGCCGACATTTCCCTCATTATTTACTCTAAACTAATGATGATAAATTCAATCAATTTAAAATCTAAATAATGTTATTATATGCCGAGTTTAAAACTTAGTGTCATTAATGACTAGGCTTAATCGAAAGTGATCTAATGTTATTGGAAGGGACAATTAACTATAGGAGCTTGCACCTATAAGAAATCTCAAACCCCAGATCTTAAACATCCTCACAAAATGAATGTAAATTCTCTAAGTAATGTCTTACCTAAAATTTAATCTGTGTTATAAAAATTTGACCCGACAACATAAACCAAAACTCTAAGGAGCCCACAGGGTATATAACTGATAATATCAAATTTGCTTTTGAAATCCTTAGAAGACTCGAACACTTTCTCCTCCCATAAGTATTTTTGAGCTAAAATTGATATGCATAAGACTTTGGATTGTGTTAAAAGAGACAATCATCTTTAGACTTATTAATAAAGACATTACTTCTATAATTAACATATTGAATGAAGCCTAAATCTCTTATGCTTCCCTATTTGTTATTATTAATGATGAGCTTTAAGGATACTTCCATTCAAACAATTGTTTTGAGGAAAAAAGGCTGCATTTATATTTATTTCTCTTATTTTTTTTTTATTCACACTCAATTATGTTATTTATGATAAATGAGCGAAAATCATTTTCCATCATAAATCTCGTGTCCAAGTAAACATCAACCATTAAATTTATGCAGATCGTTTGCAAGTTTACCAATCATAAAACTATTTCTTCTATCAATGGGCAATGATACAAATGGGGGTATTGGGGTCGTGTCCGCACTAGCCCTACCGAGTAAAATAAGTTTGTTATTATTATTTTTTAATAAAGCTCCAGACATTTCAAAACCTATAAGCCATTTGGGAGCTATTGCCTGCAATTCTAGACTCACGTAGGCCCTTAATCATTCATAGTTGTCAGTGGCCATTGAGACAAATTTTTATGAAGGCGAAAGTGCTCAAGAGAAGCAAGTGTAGTCTAGAAAAAAGCACAAGAGATTAATATTTTTTAGCTAAACTTAATTTTTGAAGTTTTTGTAGATTTTATCCAATGAAATAATGGAAAATGATGTTGACTTATCTGGGGAAAAAGATTGAAGCATACCCACTTTATGTTCCCTCAATAATTATTTTTATTGATATTTTTTTTTAATAAAATTTGTCACAACTCCCATAGACCCTTTTGTTGAAGGAATCAACTAATGCATGAAATGGTTTTATTAATACGCTTATTGTTTTCATTTTATAGTATTCTTATTTAATGCAACACTTTTAATATATGAAAACTACAAAAGAAAAATTGTAGGTAAAGCGCTTTTGTAATTTATTGTTAGCATATCATTTTCATTTTATATTAGAAATCTAACAAAAATATGTTAATGTTAGTCTCAAGTTCTGATGAAAAAAGTTGATAATATTTTTGAAATCATTAATTAGTCCCAATAAAGAAAAAAAAAATCTGGCTCCACCCTACTTCCCTCTAGGAAGCTCGCACTACTTTTGATTATTTTGCTTGGATTTTGTTAACCCCGACTTTGAGATTTGTTAGAGTACATCTATGAATAACTCCCAAACACTTCATGATATCATTAAAATTAAGTCATTCCCTCCCTCTTAAAAACCTTACTTTTGCTAGGCAATTTTAATGTATCGGGTTTTTATTTGAAGATTCCTTTTCTATAGTTAAGAGCTTCCCTCCCTCTTAAAATGCTACAAGTCTTGTTTCTAGGTTAATCTAAGATGGTGGATATCTTAATAAGCTCCATATCATTTCTTAGAATCAAATTACACTGCCTAAATTTCTCAATGTCTATAGCAAAGCTAGCAAAATGAAAATTATTTGAAAGACAGCTATTTGTCTTAACCTTTTAACTATAGTGGAAGGTTCTCTATGGATCTATTAGAAATAGATGTCCTATTAAAGTTTCTCACTTTTCAAAGGAGCTATAGAATGGTGCCTCCAAGATGACTTATTTTGCTAATGGAAATGGCCAAACATTTCCATGTTTAATGATCCTGAGATTAATGGTTACTCTCAAAGAGAGATCCGAAAGGCAAGTGCACTTTAGTTATAACTTCCCCATGAATGCTAAAAATGTGATATCATTTCTACAAGGGAGTAGTCTCTCCCAAGCCCATCCTCTCTTGTTGAAGATACTTGCTTTCATCATATTAAGGCAGTCCTAATTCTCCTTGATTAGGAATAGAATAATTTGAAATGGAAAAGATAGATTCTCTTTACTTAAGGCTAAAAGGGCTATTTACTAATTAAATGATAATTTAGATCAAAAACAGACATAATTTTGGCATAAAGGAATGTTTCTTAGAGATTTTATTTATAATTAAAAGGTATGTTTAAATGGCCTTAAAACGAAGAATTATCTCTTTATAAGGGATCCATATTAATTGAAATAGTGCCCTGTGTTCATGAGGTGATGAAATCACACTCAACTGTCCTTTGGCTACTCCAATTACATGTGCATGTCAAGAAAGAAACTCTCATCATAATGGACATTTCTTTCTCCTGGAGGCTTTTTCACCGCAAATTCTGAAGTTTATTTCATTCCCCAGCCACCATGAGGCCAGAAGGCTTTATGTACTGGCTATGGAGTACATGTTTATAATACTTAACTGGCGAGAAATTACAGAATTCATAGATTGCTATTACTTAACTGGTGAGGAATTCAAAAACTCTTATTTAAAAAATATTAGCATTTTAATATTAAATTCTTTTTTAATATTTATTTTGATGATGGAGAATTTTTTAACATTTAATTTTTATAAAAGAGATGGGCGGGGGAGGAGTGAGAAGTGAAACGCAAAGATTAATTGCGTTTCATGTTAAACGCAAAGATTAACTGTGTTTCATGTTAAACGCAAACAGTAATTGAGTTTCTGCTGCTTTTCCTAATTACTCCTCCGCACTGCTCCTAATGCTGATATTAGGAACTATTAAGCCCCTTTTAAACATTTAGCCCCACCCAATTCCTACGTATTTACATATCTAACACCTAATCTTTGATCTTTATATTTATACCACCCAAATCTTTCATATCACACAAAAAAATACCACTATTTTGACTAAAAAAAGTAAAGTACAAATTTTCATGCATAGGTAAGATGGCATGTATGTAAAAATTAAAATTTAGGCGTTAGATTTGTAAATACATAAAATTACGTGGTATGTATACAAATCTTCCACTCTGGTTCTGTTTATTTGATCAAGGGTCCCTCCAACAAAGTTTTACCAGCAGTTCAATACAGCACTCATTTCTCCAACCCACCCAACCCAAAGAGCTAGACAAAAAGAAAAAAGGTGCAGTCCACTACTACGACAGAGTTATCAGAGGATTCAAGAACTCTTCTCCATAAAAAAAAAGGATAATTACATACATAAAACGCTGAAACTAAGTGCTTGGTCACATCAACATCAAACTTAGTAAGAAGCTTGCAAAAAGTAGCACAAATCAACTAATTTTCTTGAAGATTTGAGACAAGTTCGATGTAGCCCTAGGATTTGATCCTCAAATTAACGTTCAGCGATACCGATCTCATATTAACCTCGTTCCCAAACTACTACACGGCAATTTTAAACTTGCCAGCAAAACAGAGCAACTTAAAAGAAAATTAGTATGCACGAAAGGCAATCTGCTTAAGATAAAACTCAGAGAAAATCAAACAAAATGTAACTTAACCAACCTGATTCCTACAATCATCGTACTGAGGGGAGACGCTCTCATCAGCCCTAGCCGATCCAAAACATCGTTTCGGCCCACAGTGTGGAAACAGCACCGGCGGAGGATTAGGCGGACAGTTCCGGCGACGGATTACAGTCGAAAAAGATAAGCCCCGATTAAATAACCGCGCAGCAGTGGATCTTGCTTGCCAGATGAGGACCATTGGAAAGTCGGAGAAATCGAAAGAGAGAAAGGAGAAGGGCTTTTGATTTAATCTTTTTCAGAATTCAAGTTCGAAGAAAGACTAAAAATTTAGAAAATGGGACATGGAGTAAAGGATTAGCAGGCGAGTGCTGAAAAGATAGAGATTCCAGATCAGCAAATGAAGTGTTTTGGAAGCATGCAGATGGAGCTAACATCGCCAGCCGGTCCCGGTACGGCGTGTGCTCGTCCGGCCGAATACGCGAGGACAAATTTGAAAAAGTAGCTTCCCAGAATCATTTTTTATTATTAAGAGCCTAATAAAAAAATATTATATAAATAGCACCACAAATAGTCACTATCTTGCCCTTTTTTTTTTTTTAAGTCTCACTTAAATATGGAAATTCGAAATTCAGCCAAACCCATTTTTTTTATTTTCTTGAAATCTCCAATGAGCTGTTCTTGGCATCCATAAATACATGAATTCTATAATTCAAGAAAATCATCTAAGTGGTCATTTTATAGATAGTAATTTTCGAGTCGACTATATATAAATATCTCAACTATATATGAATAGAAAAACATTTTAATAGATTTAACATCTAGACCATATTATATCTATAAGCCTAATAACTAAAATTGTTTTAAAATAACAAATTTTTCATTGTATTACCATCTATTTCGTCTCTCTAATAAATTTTGTCTCTTTCTTGAAATCTCTTAAGCGACACCAGCTCCACTCTCCCACTATTGCTCCTCTTTCGCTCTATCTTCTTGCACTTTCTCCTCACTCAAGCGTCTGCTACACTGGGCTACTCTTTCTCTTTTCTTAAGCTCTTCCTCTATAGAAGTCTCAGCCCATTGCGGTTAGTCTTTTCAAATTATCATCTATGATTGAACCATTGTGACATTTCCAAGTTTAGAAATTTTGTCCAAATCAATGCTTTAGGGGCAAACTATCGATCTCAAAGGAAGTGCATAGTCATCAGCTCAAAATTCATTATTTTTAGGAAATATTTTTGCATACGATTTTACTTTCATGATTGATTTTTGAGTCCTGCTAAAGAAGATAATTACGTGATTTACTTATTCTTATATAACTATGATAGATATTTGTTTGATTGCCATTTATAATTTGTGTTGCTAGCTGTCGGACAATGTCTTACCAAAAATTGGATTTACATACTGACTTTCTCGTGCTTGTCTAGTTCTCCTCTCTTGTTTGAGTTAGAGGCAATTAGTGTATTGAAAACCATATATTTTATATCTGCATTTATTTGTAGCTGAGGAAGTTGAATTTCCTATTAAATAAGATTGAATTGGTTTTCAAAATTCTAGTCCCTAAACTTATTCTAGAGAAGGTATTTTTTTCAATGCCTTAGGTTCATGATTTTTGGACTTGTTATATGTTACATAGTTTATATAATTACTTATTAGTATATAATATTATGCTCAAAATCTTAAACCATTTATTTCTAGCTTCTCATGTTTAACTATAGGATTTCAATCAGGATAATATTTTCACTCTTCAATTTAAAGGATTCTATAGATTGCTAGTTCAAGGTTGATATGAGTTATCAATATTGGTAAGGAAAGGAGTGTTATAATTTTTATGTAGGTTGAGATAATTTATTCCAAGGTTTATGATGGAGTATTTTCGTATATCTATACTTTTTTTGAACAATTACTGCTACATCTTTAATTAATGCAAATGATATGGTACTATTCATATAGGTTTTAAACACTTTATTTTACATGAAGGATTTATTTATCAAGTATAATTTTTATTGGTTTTGTTGGAACTTTTTTTTTCAATCTATATGTTAGGAAACTAATATGGTTGGATCTTTGATCAACTCCTTAGGTACCATTGATGAGAAAAAATGATTATAATAATATTTCTTAGTATTGGCAATCTATTAAAAAAAATTTAGATTCCTAACCATTCGCCAATTTTTAACCTACCTATTGTTTTCAGCCCATTCAATGTATGTTGGTAGCTTTACTTCTACGCTACCCAATCATTCGTAATATGTTTATAATTGTTAGGTTGTATATGATGCTTTGTGTGTCTATCTTTTATCTTAATGTAAAGTTTCTTATTATTGGGAATAGGTTTATTTTAAGCTTCATGAGCTTAAATCAACCGATCTCTAGTAGAGTCTTTCGGTTTGTGTGCCTGGAAGGTTGTATTCACCTAAAGTATTAGATTTGGAGGTTATATGTGTAGCAACAACTAAATACTAGCTCCTCTTTCAATCATTTATTATGTAGAGTTTCTCTAGAATTTAATGAATAATCTACTGATATTTTCAAGTTTGCTTAGAAATTCCTTACTTTTCTTAGTATATTTTGTGTATTTAACTTTTAATACCTATAGAGAAAAATTCCAGTATTTTATACTACCCTTTTTAGAAACATTATTTTAATGCTTAGATATTTTTCTAATGCGCAATAGATGATGAAATTAACAAGTTTTATATTTGTGAGAAATGAGTCCTACTAATTCACCAACATTAATGGATGCCACAGATTGCAAAATATATTATAGATGCAACATGTTGTGTTTAGCATTCACTTGTCATTAAGATGAGAATCATAAGATAAAATTTTATTAATGCTCTAGAAATTATGCATAGAATGATTATCATTATTTTAAATCAATTGATGAAATCAAGGTTGTTGTTTTGGACATGAACTACAACATTAGAATGATCTTTGAAGAGCAGGCTAGAAAGGATTATGAGAATTGTAAGGCCATAAAATTTTAGATTAAACTTATGATATGACTCCTAATAGCAGTGTGTTTAAGATTCTTTTTTTTGTCAGCCAGTATTGTTTCCTACTGATGTATTAGTAGAAATCAGTTAAGCTGAGTATTTGTAATAAAATTGAGTAATTGAATATTTAACTCTTTTGGTATTATTTTTTCTTGGGAAATTTTGAATACAAATATCTATAAAATGTCTATCTTTTTCTTGAATTTATGTTAATTAAAAAATCAAATTGATAAAAATTTTGTGGTTTTAAACACAAATTTGCAAGATTATTATCTTGTGTGTGACAACTCTTGATTACTAATTATTCTATTTATTTTAGAAAAATTGACACATTCGGTAACTCAATGAAAGGAATATAAGCTATAATAAAAAGCAAATAATTAGATATTTAACTATCCCATTCACCAATTTGCTTATGAAGCCTATGCTCTATTTTATCTCAACACATTCAGTCCTATGATCCATTTTGCATTAACATATTCAGTAACAAATACAAGCATACATGCTATAGTGCAAAGCCAATAACTAAAGATTTAACTTAGTCATATGCTCCAAATTTTAAAGAGATCTAGTGCAGGTTTTTATCAAACAGTAATTTAATGTTTTTTTTAATCTACTAATGAAGTAAAAGTGATGAGTAACATATAATCATAAAACTCAGTCACTAAATCAAGATTTGGATAATTAGTTTTACACCAACTATCATATTTAATATAATCAGGGACTATTTAGTCAACTGAAAAAATAAATTAAGATGAATGCAATGAATAGTAATATATTGTCATTAGAATATTTTAGAGTTGTTTTGTTTGAAGTAAAAAAAATGTACGATTTTATACTTATTTTTGTTTGATCTGAAGTAAAAATGAATGCAATGAATAAGTAATATATTGTCATTAGAATATTTTAGAGTTTTTGGTTTGAAGTACAATAAATGTACGATTTTATACTTATTTTTGTTTGATATGAAGTAAAATGAAAATAATGTATTTCAAAAAATGTGAGATTTTTTTAATAAATTATTGGTGGTTGTGATGGTCGAAGGTGTCAGCGAGAGGTATCGAAAGAGTTGGTGACTTACAGCTATTGAAGGTATGATGGTGTCCGATAACAGTGGTCGGCGAGTGGTTGGTGGTGACAGCAAGCGACATTCGGTGGTAGGTAGAAGCCTGCTCATAAATAGCTTGAAGATAGAAAAACAAATAAAAGTCTTGCTACTTACAGATTTAACTCTTTACAATATCAGATACTTAATCCATTAATTAAAATCAATGCATTTTCAATGAATTTATGTGCAGTTCATTTCAAAGTAGATGTATTATGCAAACTTGAGTGAATATTTCCTTTAATAATGAGAGAAACTACTATGAGATTCTTGAAAAAAAATAGTACACTTGCAATATTTAGGCTCCATTGAGCACAGTACATTTGTATTCAAGTTTGACTGGTTTGATTATGTTCCTAATCGAAGAAAAATAACATACAAATCATATGACACCTCTGAAGTGAAAATAAGCAGAGGATATGTCAAATTTGTTCCATTTTTTCTAGCAAGTCAAGTCAAGCAGGTATACTATCTTCAATACCCTATTAGAGTAAGAGGTAAAATTGATTAGTCAGTAGTCATCAAGACTAAATTTACGGTGATTATTGAGTTCCATAATAATATTGAACCTACTCATCAATAGGAAATAGTATTTAACCACTCTCAGCATGTCAATATAAGTTAAAAAAAAAAATGATTTTCTATTTTTGTTATTAATATTTAAAATGACAATCAATGTTTAAATTTTTTCATGCATTAAGAGTACGAGTAGTTTCAGGAGAGACAACATGAGATGGCTAGCTAGACCTCAACGTCCGCCAGTAGTAGTGGTAACCAGTTTACCACCACTCAATGTTATTTTTGAGTTGTGGATGCAAGCTGCAGTGAAGAAAAAGGGGAGGGTGTACGGTCTAGGCGCACAAGGCATAACATTTGAGGCCGACCACTCTTGTGCAGCTATGGGTGGTCGTAGTTTGTTACAAGCTTAGCATTAGAAGCTTAATAAATGGGTCATGTTCATGAATGAAGAGCCCTGAATGGTGACAAAGAGTTTTAATCGTTGGGGCAAACAACATATGAGTGTTGTCAACGAGAATGTGGAGGAGGAGGAGCAGGAGCACGAGGATGATGAGGAGCAAGATTAGGATTTTTATTATGTATTTGTTGATTTTCCCCCGTCATAGGGGTTGTTTACTTTTTATTTTTTATTTCTGTTTAAGTTTACTTTCAGTTTATGTTATTGTGAACTTTGAACACTTAGATCTGTTTTTCTTTAATTTAATTTATTGTCATTGTTTAGACATGTTGGTGATTTGTTTCTTTTAGTTGTAATGATAGATAAATATGATATTTTGTTGCTTGTGTTTCTTCTATCTAGCCATGTAGAAATCTAATCTTTATGTTGTATTTTTTTGTTACAGGTTTATGTCTAAACCTGATGTGAAAAAACAATGTCAATTTGATATTTGTTGTCGCTAAGTCAATGCTAATTAGCGTTGACATGGCGGATGCAGATGCGACATATAGGTTGCGTCGACTGTTTTTTTTTTTGACAAAAATTCACAAAGGCGGATTCTTGCGACCCTAAGCTTGATGCAAATGTCGACGCAAAACTGATTAGCGATGCAGATTTTAACGTCAACATTTTTTGCGACGTAAATCAGATGCAAAAACTGATTAGTCTCAGAAATATGCCTAATTGGCATCTGAAATGTCTGATCCCAATCTATATATTTCCTGTAGTCTCTCTATACATAATATAAAATCTAATGAGAATTTAGTTGAACATTTGTTATTCTATTTTTTTTATCTACTACTCTTTTAGATATTGAAGAAGATGAAGGATGAGATGTAGATGACAAAGAAATTCTACCTAAATATATAAATCAGCTAGGGTTAAATCTAACTTCTACTTCTCCATCTAAATTTTCAATAGCTTGATCTTTTTCTTGATTTACTAGAGGTTTAGGGTTTACTCCTGATGGTATAATCCATGAATCGAGAAAAGATATTTCATTCCATTTGATAACTCTATTAATAGCTATATTTGAAGCGAACAAATTGGTTTCTATAACTGTGTTCTATCTGCAGGTTGAGCCAATCTTTTTATGTTAGAACATATGTAAAATGAATTCTATAAATTATTGCAATTATTTCACATTTGGCAAGAAATCATAATCATGCATTTGCATTTACAATTTTGCTACTTTAAATAGATTAAGATAAGTATATGATAAAATTAAATTTGGATATGTATTAAAATATACTGGTCCATGACATAAGAGCTTATTTCTAAAACTCCTATTAATGCTCGTGCCTAATTTAAACATCTACCATCACACATGCATGCTGACATTGAAGCATTTTATCCTATAAGGGTTAAAGGTTTCAACCTTATTTGGAATAGTCCTATATAAATATATTTATAATTATGAAAATAACTTCTTAAGTCTTCTATTAATAATAAGGGTATAAATTTTTATATTTTCATCTATAGTAATCGACTGTTCTACAATTTTAATAGAGGATTTTCTTTAAAATCAAATGTTCCAATTTAATGGAGGACATCTATATTTATGGATGATCTATATCAAATGGGAATAAAACACAAACTTGAATATGCACAATAACCAATATATCATATTGCACGAGACATTGGTACACCATACGATCAAGGTATTATTTCAATCCCTTTTGGACAAGTAGCCCCGCACCATCGGGTTTCCAGCGAATATACAAATTCTCTTTAAATTTTATATCAGATTTCAAGTTTTTGAAAATGTCCACACACAAATCATGCATCACAATAACTTGATATCTTGACAGAATTAAAAAAAGTTGTATCTTATTTTGTAACATAACCATTAAAGTGCTAATTTATTTTGTCATAATATACAGTAAAGACTTTATAGAATCCAAAGGGATTCAATCGGGAAAAAAATATTACATTAGTACTACGCACGATGTCACGACACCCCGCGATAGAGAAAAAAAACAGCGCAGTAACACGGGGAATATCCCCCCTGTGTTATTCATGTGTTATTATGTGTTATTCATGTGTTATTGCGTGTTATTCATGTGTTATTGATCTGTTATTGTGTTATTATAACATCAATAATATTCTCAGGGCACAATAACACATGAATAACACAATAACATCTGAATAACATGGGGAATATTCCCGACAGAGAAAAAAGCGGCGTAGTAACACGGGGGAATATTTTCCCCCGTGTTATTCATGTGTTATTGTGTATTATTCATGTGTTATTGTTGTGTTATTGTGTTATTATAACACCAAGAATATTCCTAGGACATAATAACACATGAATAATATACAATAACACATGAATAACACGGAGGGGAATATTTCATGTGTTACTGCGACGTTTTTTTTCTCTGTCGCGCAGGGTGTCGTGGCTTTATTTCATTGGTTACGCATGTTACTCTACGTGCGTAGTACTGATGTAATATTTTTTCTTCAACCGGACTTCAACTATTATTACAAAACAAACTAACCCTAGTTATTCATATTAATGTAGTATCTATATTGAATTATGCCTCGTAGAGATTTAGCCAAACCTTGTTCTGCTAGGAAATCAAAAGAATGAAAACTTTACACAGAATAAAGAAAATGAAAACTTAACACAGAATAATTAAAATCTTTATATGCAATTATTACTAAAAACTTATATATATATATATTTAAATTTAAGTGTTAGATATGTAAATAAATAGGAATTGACTGACATGAATGTAAATCTTCCTTTTAAAATATATGGAGAGAGCTAAAACTTGGTCAAAAGCATGGAGTGCATTGCATTTAAGTTAGAAAGAAGACAACACATTTACACAACTTATGAAAGCAGTGTAAGATGTACAAGTACAAGATTAGAAACTAGGAAGAGACACAAAATTCTATTTTTCCACCAATTTTGGCAAACTCACTTCATCATAATCATCAAAGGACATGAAAATCTCATCCAGACAAGAGAGCTCCATTCCATCTTCTTGCCTGCTTGTCTGAACACTGTAGCCTGCTTCATACACTCGGCACACCACCCACCTGTTAGCAGCCTTCGCCTGCCCTTTCTTTCTGGAAGGCCTTCTGCCATTAATGCCGCTGGTCGAGCTCGTTTCATTATCCAGCAAGCAGTATTCTTGCATGATCCAGTCAGTCTTAATCCCCTCGGCTTCACCGCCGATGTGAAAAACCAGAGTTTTCTTCACCCCCACATCCTTTACAGTCTCATCAACGCCCATGTGCTTCCAGTAGCCATTAGGTGTTGCTCTGTTCTCTGTTCTGTGACTGAAGAAGTACCAGTGGTTGCCTCCCTTAAAAGCCTTGCCTTCAATTGAAAACAAAATCAGAAAATAAAGATTTTTGAAAAAGTAAGTCTGTAAGAGTAATGGTGATGATTTAATGGATGGAAAGATGGACTGACAATGAAGGTCCCAGGGATCGAAGTGGCGGAGATTGAGAGTGGGGATGATGTCGGGATGGCAGGGGAGCAGGGAGGCCTTCGGTCGGAGGAAGTGGTGCAAGAGCTCTTCGTCGGAGGGGAAGAAGCAGAAGCCAGGGGGGAGATTGCAGGCGCCGGTTTCTTCTCCCATATTGCCGTGTTTGGGGAGTGAAGAGCAGTGAGAGAGTAGGATATATGCGCTGCAGTAAATGGGGGAGTTTTGGTTGCTCTGTTTCGAGCAAAATGTTGTTTTTATAGCGTTACTGAATAGCAATGTTTCCGTGCTCATCCCTGTGTATTAAAATGTATAATTATATACAGAACATAAGGAGTATTATTATTTTCAAATTGTGATTTTTTAAACTATTAATTAATACATTTATGTATGCCACAATTAAGTCATTTTAAATTTGATGAAAAATATGAGTTGGAGTTTTATAATGACCTTTGATATCTGAGTGTGAGTTTGGAATAGGGCTATCAAAAAAGATCGTTGTTCACGAACAGTTCGTGTTCGGTTCGTCAATGAGTTCGTGTTTGATTCGTTCAATAAGTAAACGAGAAGAACGTGAATAATTTTTTTTTGTTCAGTTAGTTAAACAAACCAAATACGAACAGTGATATGTTTGTTCGTGTTTGAATCTTTATTGTTCGAAATATAAAATAATTTAAAATAATCATATATATATATATATATATATTTTTTTTTTTCATTGAACTAACTAACATTGTTTTTTCACTGTATCTCTGTTTTCTAGCCCTCCTTTTCCACTCCTTTTCAACAGTCTGCTCAATTTATGATATTTTTTAAAAAATAAATTTTATCAATTATAATATATAATAAATTAATAATAATAATATATTAATATACTGTATTAGTAATATACTAATATGGATATTATATATTTATATAACATAAGTTATATAATTAATATAATATATTATTTATATATATTAATATTAGGGATGTCAAACTGGCTCGTCGTTCGCAAACAGCTCGTGTTCGGCTCGTTCGTTAAGAAACAAACACGAACAGTGACTTCACGAACAATTTCAAACACGAGTTTATTTCAAACAAACTAAATTTCAAACGAACCGAACACGAACACAAGCTCTGTTCGTTCGTATTCGGTTCTTTTACACCCCTAATTTGAAAAATGGATGAAAGAGAGTGCTTGATTTGTAAATAGAAAAGTTTTGGATGCCTCTGTATGTAATCACACCATAATAAAAATAGAAAGCTGAATTGTCGCACTCCCTCCCTTATGGTTGTTATGAGCACTGCTATTCCAATAATCTCATAGAAACTACCTAAGATAATCTTTTGTTATCTATAATGTTTGGGTCATTAATTATTTTTTTTCCTTAATGATCAGAATTTATCAATAATAATTATTATTTAGCGGATTTACCCACGACATAATTACATAGTGGTTGATGGTTTAATTTATTATCATTTTTTGGATTCTAACTTTTCAGAAGAAAAAAAAAATTATTTATAGACTTTTTTTAATATCTTTTTGTGAAATAAATCCTTGATAGTATTATGAATAACCAACACCTCTTGTGAGAAAAGAATAGAGACCATAAAGAAGAAGAATGAGATAAAATAGAGACCATAAAGAAGGAGAAGGAGAGAATTCAGAAATAATACACGATGAAAGATAAAATTTATTATGTGATGCGAGTTGTTAATAATGATTTGTGGGATGCGATTTGGTGACAGTATTTGTGTGTTGATCTTCCCACATGACATTTTAAATAGACATATGGTTGAGGTTGAGGTTGAGGTTGAGATGATCATGTATGAAGTGATAATGCACGTTAATGTGTTTGATGCGAGCGTGAAATACTGGGTTGTGAGCAAGAGCAATCGCAAAGGTGCTGTCATTGTAGATGATAGTTGAGGGAGTTAGGGTTTTAGTGAGTTCTTTTAGCAACCAACACTACTTAATGGTTTTTGTGGAAGTGGTAGCAAGCTCTTGGTACTTTTCTTTAGTGGGTGATTTTACTAGGGTTGGTTTTTTTTTAGTTGAAAACGAGATGAGATTGAAACATGATGAATGCAAAAAATTGTAGTTGATTTTCTGCCTCTAAGATCTTCAACCGAGTCCGTGTCTGCATAAGATTATAAAGTATGAGGTACTTTTTGTAAGGGCCATGGTCGTAGGTGCCTTTGAGATACCTAAGAAGCTTCTTTAGGTGTTGGAAGAGAAAAGTGTTGGAATTATGCATATGTTGACTAAAAAAGTTATATGTTCACCTAATTTTTGTTTCTGATTTTTTTTTTAATCTTTCTGATTTTTTAACAGCTTTCTATAACTCAGAGTTATATGTTTCAAGGTCTGAAGATCCTGAACTATGCATACACCAACTAGGTTTAACTAGCTAAGTGGCCCTATGCTAAAGAGATTAACACAATTAATTTAGAAGCACACAACAACATAATAAACTCTCACACAAGTTAAATACAAAATCAAACAACAATCGAGTCACAAGTATTTTCCAAAAAATTAAAAGAATAACAAAGTACAAAGACGCATATTTAATACATAACTAGTAGGATATTTTTGGATTTTATAAATAAAAACAGAACAATATAATTATAGGCCACAATAAACACTATATATTTCAAATCTAAAACCTAAAAGTTCAACTAAAATTTTTTATATTTGATTTCACCAAAATTCCTCGGGAACAATGCCAAAAACTTGGCATACACCAAGTGTTGCGACACACGGGAGGCTCATGCAAGTAAATATGGCATATCAATAGTACATAGAATGGAATTCTATGTGTTGATCCCATAAGGAATGAGATGAACTTTTACATGAAAATTTCTAACCTATAATTGTCAGTCCTAATCTGGAATGATGTGAAATGAAAATTCAACTGAAACTCTATCCTACAGTGTTTAAAAGCGGGCCTAACCTAGCAAGTGTTATGACTATTAATGAAATTAAATGTTGAGAAATTTCTTCCTTGAATCAATCGAATGATGGATAAACCTATGATTTGGATTTTTAGACAGTATCAATCAGGAGCAAAATTCTTCCTTATGCCCTTCTAGTGGTCTAAGAAGATTAATAATCTCAAGTTTAGTTCCCTAAAACCCTTAATCTGCCCAATGGATAATATCTCCCTAGAGATTGCATAAATTCATTGGTAATATTCCCATTCCAATGAACTTATGTGGTTACCCCTATTGTTTTACAAAGAATCCTTCTAGATTTTGATGTTCACGAAAGGTTTTAACAGATTGTTGGCAAGGCATAATTCAAAATAAGATTGCAAGTTAACACACCACTTTAAAATTCATTTTCATACAAAATATTTGCAAATCCTTAATCTTTTACAACATCATCTCAAATCAAGAGAGAATCAAGAGATCTATTCACAATTCATCTAAAAAATTATCAACACAATCATTGCATTAAAAATAAAATCACACACAAAGTTTTTACAAAGTAATTCAAATAAAAACTCAACTTAGATTTATTTATCTCCTTCCCAAAAAAGAATTGAGATGAAGTCTTAAACAACAAATAATAATTCTCAATCCTTCCGGGCACTCTCCTTGCAAATCTCCTCTTGTCTTCTCCTTCAAGTTCCTACCTTTAGAATGTCAAAAGAATTAAAGAAAAGCCAAAATAAAATTGTCTCCAACGTTTATGTATAATTTCCTTTGTGAACTAAAGTGTGAAACTGCTGAAACGACTAAATAACACACACTGGAGTCGGAGCGCCCATGGATGGTACAGAGGCGCTGCAATTTAGCCATTCATAACGCCTGAGAGCTAGCACTTCTGGAGCTCCAGTACTCTTACTTTAGCGTCAAGTTTCTGTGCACTCAAGAAATCTTTCAAAAAACTACTCAATCCAGGTGCCTAAGTGTCGTAGGTCAAGGCCCCAACTCTTCAATTCTAGCGACCTAGCGCTAGGGATGCAACACCAACTTTTCATCTGCTTTAATTCTGCACTCCATTGGACTCGTTCTGGCGCCTTGGCACCAAGACCTAGTGCCTAGGTGCTAGAGCACCACTTTGCTCAGATTTGCTACATTTCTAACTCTGATTGCTCCCTTTACATGAATCCTGCAATTCAAGGCAAGAACCTTCCTCAAGTCGTAACATAATCATACAAATTAAAAGGGTTAAGAGAAATTCCATAAGAACTTTATAAACATATCAAATAACCAAAAATTCATCAGGCATAGCTTGGCGCCAGTAAGGTTGGTTTGTGGCTTGATTAAATGTTGTAGGGGTTTCCTTATTGATGTGGTATTGATGGTTAAGGGCTTTGGTGAGTTTGAGAGATCCAATCTGAAAACAGGTTGTCACAGGATGTTGTTTTGAAGGTTCACGGGTGAGGATTGTGAGGAGAGGGGAAGATGTATGATTTCAGTAAGAGGATGATTTTTGTGTGGTGATGTGGGTTGTTGAGCAACACGAGTAGGTAAAGGTGAGGTTGTAGGGATGAACTAGAAAATGGTGAACATGACAGAGAGACAGATGCACCAGGAGTGAAGGAGGTAGGTAACATAAATGAGGAATTTATGTATGATAATATTGTGATAGGTTACTGAAGAGCAGGTTTTTGTCGGTAAGGAAAAACCTTTTCTATAAAAGAAACGTGTCTAGAAATGCTAAATTTTTTATTGATAATATCAAAACATTTATAATCTTTGTGATGTTGACTGTAGCAGAGAAATATGCAGGTGAGAGACTTGAGGCTAAATTTATGATGGATTAGAGGTTGTGTCCAGATAAAATAGACATGTCAAAAGGTCTTAAAGGCTTGTTAAGCTGGTAAAGTGTGGTGTAAAAGTTGAATTGGTGACTTATTTTTAGTGACAGGAGAAGGAAGCCTATTTATGAGATAGTCAACAGTGAGAATAGCTTCTATCCAAAAGTGTGGGGGAAGGTGTGATGTGCTAAGCGATCAACCTATTTGAGCTAAATGTCTGTTTTTGTGTTCAAAAAGATCATTTTGTTCAGTTGTATAAGGACAACTCAATTGATAAGTAATATCATTGTCTTGTATAAATGTGCATAAACGTTGAGATTTAAACTCACATCCTCCATCTGTTCTTAGATATTTGATATTTTTATGATGATTTTTTATATGCTTATGTAAAGTTAAAATGATATGCAACTTCAGACTTATATCTCATGGGTATACACCAACAAAAACAAAAAGAAGGCATCAATAAACGTAG